AGTCTCTCGTGATCTAGAGACAGATCGTTTTCGTGAAGTACTCCATAGAGTTGTGTTGTAAAGTGCTAAGCATCACTAGTGACCATACTAGGTGTGACATATCCGTTGAATTCGCGTGAAATTGCCATCACGACTGCGACGAAGTGTACACGGTGTTCTATCATGTCGTGTTCGTAGAAGTCGGCTTCTGCGTGGCAAAACTAGGCTTTGAATTTATCGGGCCAGAATGGCCTTTGCCAAAATGTGGCAGGCGTATGAGCCTTGACCTTAAATAATTCAGGAGTTTGTTCGGTCATGATGGACATAAAATATAGCAAAAAATATCCAGAAATATATCACAATAGGTGAAAATCAAAGTTAAAAATAATGTATAAAGTTCTAGCAAGGAACAGGTTCATTGTTTGCAATTTGGTGAACCAGATCACGTCGGTATCTTCACTTAAGATGAAAAAATTATTCGGAGTTCGATAACGCTTTAACCAGTAACGCCTTCAATAATTGAAATCTGACAAACCAAGCAAATCAAGAGTCAGAAGTGAAGAGGTTAGAACATGCGGGCCACAACACTTAGAAGGGGAATCGAGAGATTTTGAAGTATAAAATATGAAGAACCAGCCAAATAACATGTGGTGGTAAATCTCCACAAGAAGCATGTACATTTAAACAATTCACTAAAATGATTAGCTTCAGAAAATATCAACAACGATGGTGTCCTCATAAGTTTTACTGGGAATATCCCTAGCTAAAAGCACTTGTGTGGGCATCTGCACGAAATGACTTCTGGGTATGTCGTACCGTCCATCTATTAAGAAAACTTAGATCGTTTACAATCTAACATTCTCGCCTTACATTCTTGACATCCAGTTTCAACGGTTTTGTGATCGTTGTATAAGTAGTTTCAGACAGCAACGCTAACAAACATTACATCGCCCCGAAATATTTCTTGATGAGTCACGTGTCCTGGTAATATATACAATACACTGAGATGCTGTTCCCTGATTGAGATTTCTACTGTGATATCTAAGGCAAGTTGTCCCGACACTGGAGAAAACTAGTCTTCACAACTCTAAATGTACTATTATAAAAAATAACCTATGGGAAAAACCACCGGACAACACACGTTGACGGCAACTGTAGCAGGTGTACATAACGATCGGTTATAAACCACACGAATATTGACGACCTGTCTATATCTCGGTGACCTAGGCTCAGAAGCCGTCGGCTTGTCCCTTGCTTTTCAACAGCGCTAACAAAATGATATTTAGATATTTCAAATTGGAAAAAATGCCATCGATTTTCCTAAGGAAGCTAGTGATGCTTAATGCATTGACCCTCTGGAAATGGGGGACTGAATTGCAAGTTACAATGAGGCAAACAATGTATTTGTAGATGCCTCTTCTACGATAAATTTTATTCTAAACTCACTCGGCCGTGAAATAATAAATTGAATTTTCTCATGAGTTGTTATTGTTATTCACAAACAAATTATTTATACATCAGTGTTGTGAAGAAACCATTTTGGGTCTCATCGCACATGCGATTACTGACATGTCTGATTAAGGTTTACATAATATACAAAATATATACAAGCTTAGCAATATTTAGAATATTAAGTAACGTCGAAGAGTACGTGCGAATGTTTGAGTTTGTTTATGAGAGAAAAAGAATAAACAGTATTATATACATTACACATAAGTTAAAATACACTATTATTGTGGTAAGAATTATTAGTTGAGAGTCAGAACAGTTAACAATGATGCGGGGAAAAACTTATCACAGGACGAATTCTCTTGGTAAGAATAAAGAGGTGAGGACATAACTACGCTCCAGTGTTAGCTGTCAAAAATCTCAGGAGATTACATATGAATCATCCCTTGGGATATATAAATCCTGATGCTCACATAGACCACGTCCGTCTGGATTTGATAGTGAACCTTTCCGCATGATGACCAATAATAGTACCCATCAACATTTTGGCCAGAGTATAAGCCAACACATTTGCCGAACGATGAATCAAATTCTTCGGGTACTCTATAACCATTCCTACAGACCATCGATCCCAATTTGGATATAGATATTTTATTTCGAATTTATGGTGATCTGAACTACGGACTAGCTAGCTAAAAACACACCATGTACTCAGTTAAACTCTGATCCCGTCACAGTCAAATGACTTCTCCGTTTAACCACCATCAAGAGTTAGTACATTTAGTACGCAGATCCATTGACACTGTCTATCAAGGACCTTATAAAGCTCTTTATCGTGGACGGAAGTATCATACTGTCAACAGCATCGACAGAGTGAAAAACACTTCCCGTCGAACTTTCCACTACACTATTTCCGATATTATGAAACAACCACGATCATCACCGATAACAAGTAAACATCTGACATCCGGACTAAGTCGAAATGTTCTGAGAAGCGTGAAGCTCTCAGGATCCCTAAATGACTATTGTGTATAGGTGTATCCTTACATAAGGTTAGCATTCTGACGGACAAATTAATATAATAGCGAAAACTCGCGAGTTCCTGTCCTTTAGATTGTCATTTCCCTTGTCACCACGTCTATATTCGATGATCCGTGCTCAATCTTTGTATCGTGACAACAGTTTGCACACACCAAGAAGACTGACGCGAAATTAATCCTTGCATTATACCTGATAACAGTTTGTGATGAAAACCCCACAAATTCATATACATAAGTCTACCAATTATCGTTTCTTAACAAAATAATATTGACTCGTTAACCAAAAAGCATTTCTTGGAAGTCCATATACTTTCCTATATTTGCGTTATTAGGAACATTTAACCTTCCAAAAGTTTTACCCTATCCATCATCAGGTGACTGGACTGGATTGATATGATTAAAAAGAAAAGATTGAAGTGAATGACTTGAATGGATAAGCGATATTATTGAGTTCTCCAACGCGACTCTAGTATAATCAATTTGCGTAGTAATGTTCGAATAAAGGATGTTTTGTACCATACCATCACTAATCATGCTAGGCAGGTTAATTGAATTTAAAGCAGTTCTGGTTTGCTTTCTTGAAAATGCTATGACCGTCTTCCAGTCAGTTACAACGTAAGACCAGGCAAGTATATGCATCGGTCCGAGTTGCCGCACCTCATTAGCACAGTAAAACGAACACTGGGTTGATAGAAGCAGTTAACTCACTGGTGTAATATATAAAAGAAAGATCTTATGTAAGGATATAGTACAGAAGGATACGAAATAATTTAAACCTCAAAGTTTAAGGGAAGACAAACAGTGCATACAACTACACCATTGTGATTGATTTTGCGCCATGTCACCAAGGGTCTCCAACCACTGGTTACGATCGTCAGGCGGACCCCAACCAAGTAGTCTGCATCTACCAACATGATCGAGACTAGGAGTTAGTGACTCCAAGAAATGATGCCACGTTTGGCTTTGGCCACCCCTAACTTTCTTCCAAACGTCTCCAACACTAGTCAACATTGCACGTCGTGGCAATCGGTGTTTGGGCATGCGTGATACTTGGCCCAATCATCTCAGTCGATGTAGGTTCGCAACCTCACCAACTGATTTACCATCATTCCCTAACACCCTGCGTCTAACCTCACTACTACTTACCCGGTGATCCCAGAAGATGCGAGCAACATTTCTAGGACATCTGTGGTCAAATACTAGTAACTTACGAGTGTCCTCTATCCTCAATGGCCACGTTTCGCTGCCGTAAAGTAGAACAGAACGAACTACCACACAGTATACTCGTCTCTTAATTGGTAGACAGATATCTCGCCTTCTCCATAGGTGACGTAAGTTGGCAAAAGCCAAACGAGCCTTCTGAATCCGTGCTGAGATTTCGTCAAATACCAACCCACTAGGGCTGATCAGACTTCCAAGATAAGTGTTGTCACCGCGCTCGACTGCTCCACTCCCTATCCTGAGTTCAGGTGTTGGCTCAGGCCAACCCTGGAGCAACAGTTTGCATTTAGAGGGGGAGAAACGTATTCCAACATTCATGGCATTGTTGCTTAGTGCTACCAAAAGACTTTGCATTTCAACGTCTTCACCAAACAGGACTATATCATCTGAGTATTCTTAGTCGATAAGTGGACATCCTGGAAGGAGATCAATGCCAGAAAATTCAGTCGACAAAAGCGTTATTATCATCAGTAGGTCGACGATGAAGTTAAACAAAAATGGAGAAAGTGGACAGCCTTGACGGAAACAACTTGAGGTTGCAAAACAGATGAGAGTTTGCCATAAGCTCTGATCTGACTCGTAATGTTCGAGTGAGGAGCCCTCACAAGTCTTTCAATGACAGACATTGCCACAGATCCTATCGGTCTACAGATTTAAATGCTGATTTTAAGTCAAGAAAGACCACCATTTCCGGACGCCGATAAGCATGCCTGTGTTATAGGACCTGACGAATGGTGAATATGCGGTCGATGCAGCCACGACCAGGTCTGAAGCCAGCTTGAGTCTCTCGTGTTTGCAGTTCACGTGTCCTAGGCGCCCGATAATTACTGAGGCTAGTATTTTAGATGCTATATTAGTCAAAGTGATCCGTCTATGGTGGTGATTTTGACCTCTGCTTATATATCGGGGCATTAAGCGATTGCGAGTGTCTTTCAGTTGATTATTTTGGTTTAGCTTATTAATATATTACAACTAATGCTGAAATGTTGAAAAATAATCAACCGCGTTACAGCCTAAGATTTTAATACCAAGTAATAAATATTTGAATTCATCTGGAGGCCACTGAAACGCTACAAGTACAACATGTAAATTCATAATCACCATCGCATCAACCTAGTTTCAAATTTACATAAGGGTTAGAAATTATCGGAAACAACATGGTAGATTATACTGGTAAAGGAATGTGTCAATTGATTAGGTGGACTATCAGTAATCAGAAAAAGTGCCATGCACAACGCACATGTATATGTATTGTATTTAAAAAAAGTACAAATAATCTTTAGAAATAATGCATGCAGTAAACACCATTGATCAAAGATAAAGACTAGCTGCAAAAACAATATCCCGTTTGATTTTTTCGATAGCTAAAACAAAAAGGAGATAAATGTAGAAAATCATCATTTCAAAAAGCGAAAGTATATTGAAAACAATTAGGATAAGAAATTTTTATTAGATTACATTACAAAAAGTAGTCGATAGAGACAATTCGTACTAATAATTTCAAATATTCTTCATTCTCACATACTTTATCATAGTAGACGGATGTTTGGAGAGAAAAAAAGCAAGGTCATGTCACATTTTCCTATTGTTCGAGTCAAATAAAACATAAGCCATCAAAGTCGGTAGGCTATTAGATAAAAAAACAAACTATGTCTTAAATTATCTTTTGGTCTCATTTGAGCAGTGTATTTACGGCACAAACTACGCATAACCCTTTTCATGTTGAAATGAGTCAAAAGAATCAAATAAAAAATATTGACCCCCAATGAATCGTGTAAATAACACTATAATAGTTTTCCGATTATGCTGGTTATTATTGACGTAAACCTATAACCTTGAATGTAGCTACTAAGTTCGAAGTGTTTCTCACGTTTACGATAAAAGGAATCACAAACGAGTTGAAACGTCCACATGATTTTGGCAAATATTATGCATCACTAGCACCACAACTGTAAATATTTTCAATTTTTTACAGTGAAAACGGGCTCAACACATCTAGAATTTATGTAGCTGACACTACTCAGTACACGACTTCATGTCATAATATGCAACAAAATAAAGACACAATAACTACTAACCCTCAACAAATTTCTTTTCCAAAACATTGCTACCAATTGTTCTAGCTGCATTGGCCATTTGTCGTAATAACTCTTCAAGTAATCTCAATGTACGAATAATTGTGCCTTCAAACAAGTCTGTCATAGAACAAACGCTAGCAAAGGATGCTCCTCTTGTCCATGCATCAACAAGATCCATTAAATGAGGTTTAAATGAATCCACGTAATTATCTTCATCAACTGGGAGACGACATTCGTTACTAATACGTGCAATACGTCTGGCTGTATCCTGTGTACAAACAGATATTGAATTAATCGAGATAAAAAGTAAAACGGATAAAATTTTCTTTTTCTAACCATAAAAACGAACGCAAGCAACATGTAATATTTTCCTCCTGCCTTTTTAGATAGATTTATAAAGAGATGAATTCAAAATTTCGCCCAAACACAATTTAATACTCCTCATGGATATCGAGGGAAACACTAATTTATATGAAGTCAGTGAGTTACAGTTGGAATATTTTGAAACACAGGAACAACAATCCCACTAGTAAACTATCTTAATTGTAAAGAGACAGAGTTACAGTTCGAATCTCGGAATTTTGTGGAAGATATAATTTAATAAAAACACGGACTTGATGAGAATTCGGGATCTAGTGATGCGCTGCATGATTAAGTAAACGTTAAATAGTTGAGTTACTATGTATGTATAGCTTATTTTTAACTACAAATAATTATATATAAAAAGTGATGAACGACAACCAGTGTTGAAGTAAAAGTATACACAGTTATCCAGTTAGTTTGTGAGCAAGGAAACGTGACAATAACTGTATCTCGAAAATGAATTAGGTGGAAGGTGATTTGAACATAGTTCAAAGGTAACAAGTAGCGTACTTTAACCAATAAGCTATCGCTCACAAACGGTGACATGACTACACTAACTCTACATATGCAAGTAAACTGGGTGTTAAACTTTAAACATCAAGATGAGGAGTCAAGTGTTTATTACAAAATGTGAGACAGTAAAGTAAATTACAGTTATATTTAAGGAAATGTTGGAAATCAGGTGGCAAAATTGTCAGTTAACATGGTGAAAGACCGACTCGGTTCGCACAGAAATTCTAAGATGATCTTATCGGTTCAAGAAGTTGAGATCTCGTCAAGTTATTACTAGCGGTTTTACATGTGTAACTCGACTTATTCTAAGAGCTAGTTTAAATAGTTTTGAAAATGAATACGCTGAAAAGACAACTCAACGATGAACTAATTTTCGATATTTTAAATTGAATCAACTCGTGCATTTAAAAACAGAGTTGTTCATATAGTTATTTAGAAGCCCGATTTCAACGTTATCAGCAACAGTACACAATTTTTATGATAGCTTGGAAGCCAATATCTCTGTGTTTAACCACTAAAACTTCGATAAGTCTTCAGAAAAGAGAAAAATGTGTAAAGTAGGTTAATTAACTGGAAAATAGTGGGTTATATTTGAACAAATTTAAAAGATTACAAATTTCATTCCAACCATAACTTCGATGCTGAATTCAGTCTCTGAAAAGTACGAGAGATGTTGAGATTCAGAATGATTGTTAGTCAGCAAGATGTATAGATTTCGACTATTTACACGTAGTATTGTAGATTATTTAAAAAAACATGTTTACGTAATCATCTTTGAGTCAGACTGTTTGTGTGGGTGCTAGTGATACTACCCAGATATCCAAACTCCAGTCGATGAGATGGGGTTCGAGCTTGAGACGTACTGGTTGGAAGCTAAATGCATTACTACTGATGATAATCTAAAATAATTTCATAATAAGCGCATAACAAGTGCAAAACAAATGAAATTCAGGAAAAGGTTTGACAGTTATCTCATACGATTTTAAAAATTCGCAACACTAAACACTTATTAACGATGTACAAAAGTACCAAGAATATGATCTACAATGACTTACTTGTAATGTACGCAGAGCATCAGATAATTCCTTAGTTAATTTGGGCATTTCCGAAGCTCTTTCCTCAAATACAAAGCAAGAAAGTAATGCTGCAATATGTTCAGATGACAGTCTATTGAATACCCCATCAAATAAAAGTTCTGTTAGTAATAACTCATCTGCCGAGGTGATTTCACAGGCTACACAACCTTTTAACTCAATTACGTCATATTCAGAAACAAAATTTAATCGTCTTAATACACGTTTACGAGCCGATAGTTCTTCCAATTGAATTAAAGAAACTTTACTATTCAGATTAGCTGTAAGAGCATCGATACGTTGCGAAGTTGCTCTTTCTTTCTATAAACTTTCGAAAGTTCTGAAAGACGTGGGTCATCATGAAGCCAATGATGCTGTAGTCTCTCTTGAAAAGCAGTAACTTTCTAAAACATAAAATAAATTACAAGGTTGTGAGGTAATGTATTACTCAGTTTGTATGCAGATTAAAACATTAAATATAGACCCACTTACACAAAAAATATATTGAACGGGAATAGGACCAAAGCATTGAAATATAGAATAACCCTAAATTTAATGGACGATTGAGGATGAGTGGAACTTAACTATTGAGTCTTAAGAAATTACTCAACGTCTATAACCATAGACTACAGTTATGAGCTCAAGCTGTCCAGCTTTTTCAAATCAATTATACATCAGTGTGAAGATGAGTGTCCATTACTGAGAAGCCCCAAAAGACGATGCAGCTACCCAGTACTTCCTAGTTTGAATGCCACTCTTTCCTGCCGATGGTATTCGGTAACAAAAACTAGCTTTTTTATATCCTAGTGAAGATTACATTACGATTAACGTCTGAGATTTATTAATGGACTATTATTATTTATATATTGTCATGGTATAAATATTCGGTAACTAGATTATGTATATCTATATACCCCTTGTTATAAGCTTTATTTTGACCTATTATTTATTATTGTACGATTTACGGTTCTTAAGCTATGTTCAGTTTATTGACTACTGCCTCCCACGTTCACAGCCACTTTCTGGCTTTACTGTGTACAAATGTTATTTACTATTTTATGGTGCGTTGCGGTCTGTTTGGTTGATATATAAGCCCAGTATGTCTGAAATAAATGATTCGATTCGCGTAGTGGAAGCTGGTATTGGTGTTCTGGACTCAAGTGGACGGGCTAGGCTGCTCATACCGGTCGAACGTCATTGGTTTGGCACAGTGCTAAGATTGTATAAGACATATTCTGATTGGTGGATAAATCACGTGATAAAAAGCCGGACATCAAGTCACAACAAGCTTCAAAATAAAAAAAAGTTTTAAAACGTACACATTTCTTTATACTTACCTCATTTACTTCCAGGAATCGTGGATCATTGATGTGCATATCTGCAATAGGATCCAAAACTGGCAAACTACCACCCATACGTATTTTCACTTTTTCTATTGCATTTAAAACACCTTGTCTAGCCTCTTTTGAACGAAGATCATTTGGAACAACTAAACGTACAGCACTAATACCAACAACACAATCTAATCGTACAGGAATAATCTCAGCCATCGGTGATGTATCACTACCAGTAACAGTAACTGAATTTGAAATTTCCGAGTTATCTACTGGATTCCCACTAGGTACATCACAACCAGATTCTTCTGAATTCGATCTAGATGGATTGGTGCATAATAAACAATCAAGTATATAAAATGATTCAGGTGTAGATGACCTATCTTTACGCTGACGTTTTTCAGATTGATCACAGCTCCCCATCCGTATGAGATGGATTGAACAACAATCTATGACAGAAGAGATAAATAGAAATTTGACAAAAGAAATATACAGACGTAAAGAATACTAAGATCTTTGATCATTATTACTATAGACTATAAAAATTATCTTAGGCACATTAACTACGTGAATTAAGTGAAACGCTTTAATCATTGCTAATTATACTATGGGATGCATATTTCTATAAAAAAAAATAGTCATTTTAAATAAATTTGTTATATTTTGAAAACGGATCTCCTCATAAACAATATACACTTGACTTGAATAAATGACTAAAAATCACCCACATATATTCGAGGCATGACGAACTAGCAAAGTGTTATACAATTATTAGGATTAGTCTTTCCATGATTATCTACTGAAGAAACATCAGATTTCTTCGTCAGTGACCTTCTCTACACATCTACAATAAAACCAGTGGAGAAAGAAAAAAAAACACATAACACCACTTTTCAGCAAATACCACAAATGATCGACAAACTCATTCATGTTATGCGACATAAGAAACAGTGTACTCTGAGACTAATTTCCTGAAAGTAAACTATCGTCTTGATTACATCACTTTAAATTTAGTTAAAAACTGTCATTTATGATAAGAAACCGTGTGTAATAAAATCTGAAAACACCATTTTTGAAAGATTCCACACATAAGTACGTATCTAGAGTAAAAAGATTTAATAACTTCCAATCAGAAAGGTATCAATCGTTACACAGTTACGGGAGAATATTCGTTCTGTAAAGCTGCAAAACATTTCTTTTCGTATACGAAAAAGCATCTCAAAAATTTACTACATGGAAAATTTGACATTAAATATAGTGCACTAGTTTTATATCGCTCAGCTTAATAACTGTATATGATTCATTGATCAATTTGATTATCATGGTACAGATGATCACAGCATAGTTTTAATTACTGTTTAAAGACAACTTCTTGAAATTATTTTACTATCTGCAGTTAGTCAACTCGGAATATATATATATATATATATATATATATATATATATATATATATATATATATATATATATATATATATATCCACGCTTACTTTAACAAGACGACCTGGTTGAAGAAAAGGTACTATGTACTGTGGACGTCGTATATACTGCCATTGCTGTCCAACTAGTTCATCGAAGCATAATTGAATTTGATGATATGATTCGACGGATTCTTCATCATCAACAACAGTTGATGCATAAGTGGCACGTAATTCATTCAATTCTAAAAGTAAAAATAAGCATTTTCAAAAAACCTACATTTTGAAATAAGCTTCATTGAAATAGGGTGGTGGGGAAATAACTAATGAGAGAGGTAAGGTATTGCAACATACATTAGTGATTATGTAAATTTGCATATTTTGTAACCGCTTTGTAGTAGTAATTACAAATCACTCGATAACCTGATATTATTCTTTGAGTCTACCATAGTAAATAAGATCTAATGTGGGTATAATGTAAATGATATAACTTTCGGAATACTGATAAATTTTCGTAATCAAAGGTATCAACAAAGTTTGATTCCATATAACAAAGTATCCGTTTAAATTGATTAGCAGTTTTTGCCACGATAATAGTTTGAACTGTCTATTTTAGCTGCTCTGTCAATTTGTACTGTCAGCAACAAAAATATATAATAATAAAACCAGCTTTATATTACTTGAAAAAAAAAAGAGTTTGATGAATAAAATCATTAAGAAAGTGATGATTCAATCAGGTAGGGAAATAAGAAAAGGTAATCTCATATAAGAAGACAAACAAGTACAGTGTGAATTTGAAAACTGTAAGTAACATTATATTGAATTCTTTAGTGTTACAAGTTCATACCAAATTATGCATATGTACACTTACTTCCGATTCTTAAGCTAGAATATTAAGCTTATCAGTGATAGACAACAATGAATTAAGCATAGAGATTTACAGTAGAAATATTAAAAAAACTTTGGAAGATATTTGATGACATATGACAGGAAGACGAACTGATAAGTTGTTTTGACGCCGAAACGAAAAAACTGGTAACGGTTAATGTTCGCAACATTGTATCAAATCAACACTACCTTTATACATATTAGGAAGACTGGCAAAATTTTGGAATTGGCAAAAGCTTCTCTCCATCATGTATTCCGGATTAATTTCTTCAACACGCAATAAATTTAACAGCATATTATAAGTGATATGAAAAGCTGAATTCAGTGGGGGTGGTGGACCCATCATAATTTGATGAGCTAGTTCACTAGTCATACTTTCATCAACCATTAAAATTACAGTACCACTATCGTCTTTACCACGACGACCAGCACGACCAGACATTTGAATATATTCACCTGATGTTATCTGTATGAAATAATTAATAATAAAATATTAGTTATAAGGGTACTAATATCTTTTGAACAATGGCTTTTACAATCGATCAGTATCAATAAAATAGCTAGTGAAAATTAATGCACTGAAAGGCTGTTTGCTGTAGAGTATATACTCATGATGTCTACATAAAGAGAAAGGAAAGAAACTCGATATCCCGTATGTCATGTATTCCCTCTATTAATTTTATAAACTCTAAAATTTTTCTCCAGTTGTTTTTACTAGTAACAATATCACGGAGTAATCAGTCAACCATAGAAGACATGATTGTTCATTAAAATTCCACACATCTGCAACCTCTATAGTTATGGGGTTTATTCATCATTGATTCCAGATAAATATAACGACATGCTTCCAATTAATTCGAAATAAATATTTTCAGGATGATGATGGTCAAGAGTAGAAGTTAGCCAGGAAATAGCCTTTAACCAAATACCTCCACTGGGAAAACAACTGATATCAACTGCCAGGCAAAATGCAGTAACAAGTAACATATCCATTCAAGTGTTAAGATATAGTCGCGGTCACCAGAAAAGGTCTAAGTGGATTCTCAGTACGAAAAATTTTCAAAAGGAAATATCTGATAAGAATGGGAATAAAGTATAGTGCATAAACAAAGACTGTAGCTATAGCATTCAACAGCCAATGTATTTTAAGACAACCTAATAAACTGTCTCACAGAAGAGCCAGTAAATAATTAGTGAGTCGATTACTGACAAGGTAAAAAGTTGATGATTCGAAGTTTGACTGAATTAGTATTTAAATGTGGAAAACGCTTGATAAATCTTGTCGACTGAACGCTATATTTATTTCCTAAGCTATTCCGATGACCCGCACGCTAGAACTACACAGCGACTTGAACACCAGAGAGAAGACGCAAGTATGAAAGAAAATACTCTACTCCAAGGTTCATTGTTGTACAGAAAGCATGGGTATTTATAGATGTTGACGTTTGTCAAGTCAACATCATATTTCAGCCAATCCGTTAACGACATATTATGTTACTGACCAATAGTAGCACGCCACGTTGGAATTCTAGAATGCTCCTTCGTGCTGCGATTGGCTAGGACTCTTCAGCTCCGTTGAAGTTCTCCGAAAGCCGACTCAACACCCCCGAACAAGATTTCTTTCTGGGATCTACTTGTAGTTTGACAACTGGGTTGCGACGGCATCCCATTATTCTTGTCGTCTTCCTTGTCCAAGGCTTATTTTCAGTGTTCTTGAGCATGTGTGGCATTGGTGCATCTAAGAGTAAATCTAACGGGAAAATCGGTCGGTTCTTTTGTCCTTATGGATTTGATTTGTGTGTCGTATACATGTCCCAAAAGTTCCTCGAACTCTGTACAGAACTCTTCCCAATTTTTTTACAACTACTCCCGGCTCCCATCGGTTCTTCCCGATGTAAGATTTGATGTAAACTTTGTCACCAGCATTGAAGTCCCGGATACTTGGATTGTGACTGCACTCATCCACTAATTTGGATGGCAACATGGCATTGAAGACGGTTCGAATACGCCTTCCGAACATGGCTTCCGCAGGAGACTTGCCGTCTGGAACATTCGGGTTCGGGGTGGATTTGTAGGATGTTAAAAATTTTGTGATCACCTGCCCAGTCGTCCCTTCGCCTCCCCCTTTCAGTAATGCTCGTTTAAAAGTGTCCACAAAGCGCTCTGCTTGTCCGTTTGATTGTGGATGATAGGGTGGAGAACGAAGATGAGTTATTCCGTTTGTTCTACAGAAATGTTTAAACGATTCTGCGGCAAACTGAGAGCCGTTATCCGTCACTAAGGTCTCTGGCACTCCGAAACTGCTAAATAGGGTAGACAACTTGCGGATCGTTTCTGTTGTACAATTTGGCATGGTATATACTTCCGGCCATTTAGTGAATGCATCTACGATAATTAGAAACATTTTCCCTTGGATTGGACCGGCAAAATCTGCGTGAAGTCTTACCCAGGGTCCCGCGGGCATAGGCCAACACTGAGGCTCGCATTTCGAAGGATTTTTAGCGGCTTGGATACATGATGAACAGTTACGGCATTTATTCTCGATATCTGTGTCCATTGACGGCCAATAAGCATAGCTACGAGCCAAAGATTTCATTTTACTGATTCCAGGATGGCCACTGTGAAACTGCTTGAGGACCTTGTGACGTAGTAACTTCGGGACAACAATGCGATCACCGAACATAATACAGGAGTCAACAACCATTAGAGAGTCCCGTCGACGAAAATATTGCAAGAGTTCTCCGTCGAGGCGATTGTTTGGCCATTTCGTCAAGAGATAGCTTTTAACTGAGCTCAGTATCTTATCACTTTCAGTTATCTTCTTGATAGTTTCAAAGGTTACTGGGAGTCCATTAACTGCGTCATCCAACACGCGATGAACTTCTTCCTCGGCTTTTATATTTGCTACAAGAGTCTCCTCCGGGGTTTTCGATTGGGAGCCTATTAATCTCGACAATGCGTCAGCTTGCCCGAAAGCGGTAGTAGACTGATACTTGATCTTGAAGTCGTAACCCAGAAGTGTGGTTGCCCATCGTTGGAGTCGGTTAGCTGTATGAACGGGAATTCCTTTCTTTGACCCAAAAACTGCAAGTAGTGGCTTATGGTCTGTTATTAGGGTAAAATGTCGACCATATATCATCTTGTGGAACTTTTTCACTGCAAATATAATCGATAGGGCTTCTTTCTCGATTTGGCTATAGTTCCTTTCAGTCGTTGTCAAAGATCTGGCAGCGTGTGAGATAGCTTTTTCAGACCCATCAGGAAAAATATGAGAGATAACTGCGCCCACACCATAGTTAGAAGCATCTGAAGCGACGACTATCGGTAGAGAAGGATCATAATGTGTCAATAAGAGATCGGAAGTTAGGAGTTGCTTGATTTTCTCAAAAGATGCTTGGCAGTCTGCAGACCAATTCCATCTTGTGTTCCTTTGTAGTAGGTTGTTTAGTGGAGCACGTAGACGATGGAGATCGGGGAGAAAGGTACCGTAATGACTGACCAATCCCAAGAATGATCGTAGGGTTGTAACGTCCCTGGGTCTAGGCATTGTTTTCACTGCTTCAATGTTCTCTGGATCTGGTCGTCTTCCGTCTTTATCTATTATGAACCCAAGGTACCGTACTTGCTGCATATAGAAGTCACACTTTTCCGCTCGGAGGCGAAAACCATAATCAGCTATGCGTTCTAGTACCTGGTCCAGTTTCTTCTGCAGGTCCATTTTATCTACTGCCGTAATTATGATGTCGTCTAGGTAGGCTGCAGCTCCTGAAATACCTTGTAACATGGTATCCATAATTTGCTGAAAAATAGAGGGTGCTGTCTTTACCCCAAAAGGTAGTCGGTTATACCGGAACAGACCTTTGTGTGTGTTGATCGTTAAGAGATCTTTGCTTTCATCAGATACAGGGATTTGTAGGTATGCGTCTGATAAGTCCAATTTTGCAAAATATCTGCCACCGTTCAGCTTAGCGAAAAGATCTTCTGGTAAGGGTAACGGATACTGATGAGACTGTAGCGCTTCATTTAATCCCGTGGAGTAGTCTGCACATAAACGAACACTTCCATTCGACTTCTTGACCACCACTATTGGTGCAGCCCAATTCGAGAAGTTCACAGGCTCGATAACACCCATTTGCTGAAGTCGTTGTAATTCTTGTTCAACTATTGGAAGAGCAGCATAGGGTACAGGTCTTTTAGGTCGAAAAACGGGAGCAGCTTCAGGTTTTAGAGTTAACAGTGCTTTAGCCTTCGTACATTCCCCCAATCCTTCTAAACACGTTTTGATGTCTTTGTAGCATGGCGTTTTTCAGGTTTCATTCTGGGGTGTTGTCTGTACTGACTCGTCTGCAGATACTGTTGATAGAATGATCTGCTAGTTTCTATAAGGTCCAACCCCATTAAGTCTAGTGCTGGCTTCTTAGTAAGATATACTGTTGCATTTGTTGTTACCGTACCTTTAGAAACAGTGCATGGCACTTCTCCAACAATATTCAACTTCCCCCAGATGCACTGTGTGCCAGCTGTGTTGTTGGGAAAACTGTGGGTCTTCCAATGTTCTTCCACGTTTCTGGGCTGATTAAAGTAATATCAGAAGCTGTGTCCAGCTGAAGGCGAGTACGGTGTTTATTAATATTCAAGGTTACATACTTTCTTTGGCGGCAACTTCGTGCTTTGTTATGTGATACCAATATTTTGTTGGTTGGAGCACTATATCTGTATTTCTTTGAGTAAGGTTTCAAGGAATGTTGTTTATAGTTTCTTCTCCTGCAGAGGTTTTCTTTATGCCCCTTCTGATGACACTTGCTGCAACGATGTTGTTTGTACGGGCAAAACCGCTTATAGTGCCAACCTCCACATGCCCAGCATGGAGATGATGGTTTGTCGCCGTTATTACGAAATTATGCGTACTGGAACCTTGAAAGACTTTTCTCTTGACTGCATTGACGTTATGGAAACAGTTACCGTTTTCTACCATTGAGGTATCATGCTTCAAGTTTACTAACCTTTGGCACTCGGTAGTCACTTCCTGCAGGGTCATGTTAGGGCAGTGTTCGAGTTTGCTTAGGATTCTGGTTCGGATATCGGCATCCTCGGGTGAACGCAGGCTGCAGATAAATACTAAGCATTTAAACTGATCTTCAGACATGGACGACAATTTAAACCTCTCACATTCTCGGTTCACAGTTCCTGCATGCTTCACCCAGTCATCTCCTGGTTCTTTCGTTAACTTTAAGCACTGGTAACGGATATTGAATAGAGATGATTGTTCTCCGAAGATTTGGGATAGGGTTTTGACTGTATCATCAAAACTAAAATCTCGTGGGTTCTTCGGAAGAATGAAGTTGCTATAGCGTTCATGTTCCATAGTCCCAAGTTTTCTAAGAAGTATTCTGACTTTTGAAGCATCATCCAGTTTGCAAAGATCAATATAAAACAAATCTTCATACTTCTTAAACCACGACTCGAAAGTTACACCTGCTACACCATCAAAATTAAATTCATGGATGGCGTTAATGACTGAATCAGTATGTGATACTTGAGATTCACTAGAAGCAGGGTTTTTCTGGGACAGGCAGAATTTCTGCATCAGGGTTTACATGATTCTAATTTGGGACTCTTCAAACCTTTTTTCTTGACGCACCATATAGGCTTCTAATTGCTCCAAGGAAATATTCATTGTAGTTTTCATCCCCGTCGCCACTGATAAGTCTTGTCGACTGAACGCTATATTTATTTCCTAAGCTATTCCGATGACCCGCACGCTAGAACTACACAGCGACTTGAACACCAGAGAGAAGACGCAAGTATGAAAGAAAATACTCTACTCCAAGGTTCATTGTTGTACAGAAAGCATGGGTATTTATAGATGTTGACGTTTGTCAAGTCAACATCATATTTCAGCCAATCCGTTAACGACATATTATGTTACTGACCAATAGTAGCACGCCACGTTGGAATTCTAGAATGCTCCTTCGTGCTGCGATTGGCTAGGACTCTTCAGCTCCGTTGAAGTTCTCCGAAAGTCGACTCAACAACGTTAATTAAAGTTAAAATGAAGCTTGAGTCATCAAATTATTTGGATTGGAAAATTACAAACTATCAGTTGGATGTTTTTCTCAACACTTAGCAAATCGCTGTGTAGCACCGACTGAAGTCCTTACAAATGAAAGAACAAATTTTAACAGAAATGAGCTGGTGGTTAATATTTGATTTGCTTTCTAACTGCTAAAAGTTGTGAGGAATGAAACCCTAAAGTAATATAATGTCTGTCCAATATAGTATGTATTTCATTTTATTAAGTTCACTCAATGGATTATTGTTAGTTCATAGATATGAGGAAATTATAATATGAACATTTTCTTTGTGAATGATAAGCATTCATAAACAGACTGAATTGGGACCTATTCGATATCAAAAGATTTCTTATTCATCTTAGATCGATAGCATAATATGAATATCCATAAGAATCCAGTTTTGACAATGAAAGTCAAACACTTACTTTAATTCTAAACAGCAGACGCAATAATTATCACAGTATATTATCGGTGTTGTAGCAATCTGGTTTTTAAGCAAGCAACCTTGATAATATTCTAATAGCTATTTAAAATGTTTTACTTACTATAGATTTGCAACTTGGTAATGGGAATTATAAAATTTTTATAAACACGTAAACTTGATATATACAAACTTTTTAATTTAATTAGGTTCATTTATTTACATGGGAGTCTTATAGTATTCTCCTGCCCAGGACATTTGGTTACTTCAGTAAATTATTGATCACAGTAGACTCAATTTTATGTCTTTTAAGTATTTAACCCTTTATATGAAGAAACTAAATCTAGATATTATTTAACTTGTACAACATAGAAAGTAATGTTTTGGAGTGTTATAAATATAAACAATCATTGTGCAGTTTTATTGCACTCATAAAAAGATCACCTGGTAATATAAGTTGACGTAAAATGTTGATATCACCATGTGTTTTGCTTTTCCACTCTCGTATGTCCACTTATACAACAATGATCGAATAGAGCGGACTGTTATACAAAATACACGTTATGGATATACGAAAAAATTTTCATCTGACAGAGAAACAGAAAATCAAAATGATAGGAACCTTATACAGGAAAAACAAAGGTATTCAATCTATCTGATCATTATAAATTGTTCTTATAGAAGGAGATAAAGACATTGGAAAACTAAAGTAGTATAAGTTAGATAAAAGTGCTTAAGTAACAAACTTGATCAGAAGATTACATATTAATAATAGTCAAACATACAGATTACAATGTGTGATAAGGAAATAAGTTTGAATTTTTTTGTTAACGTAGAATGTGATATAACCGTGAATCAGTTCAAACTGTAACATTTATAAGCAATGTAATATAATAGAAGCAACGGAAAATAGTTAAATACGGACTGGTGGTTGTATATAACGGAGAATAAATACCAGAAAGTACATTCACTCTGTATGGAATGAACTGCTGATTTCCTAATCATTCATTCGCTTACACTTTGATAAAAACCAGTTTAAACTTTAGGATGAAACTTATTCGGCAAGTATAGATTCATGTACTTAATTTTCAACCATATTTTAGATGTGAAGACTACTGGTACTGAATCCACAAACCGGAGATGGGGTAGTGTTCGAAACCGTAGTCCATTATTTGACAACAGGGTGTACGAACGGCTAGGCCACTAATCCACTTTGCGATACAAATTACAGTGTATTTTATTATTATTTCACTAATTGCTTCGCAATTCGACCAAAAGTAAGGGACGATACGTTGATACCGGTAATCAAAAACTAGAATTAACAAAATACATGATGAATATCCAGAAAATGCATAGCTACATACGAATGTTGAGCGATTTTGTGTTGTTTATACGATAATGGATAAACAGCTAGATATTATATCGAGGTTGAAACTAAATTAATCCAGAAAATTTAGGTTAACTTTTATATCACGGGTCGATTCGATGAACTACTCAAATAAAACATACTTAGACAGACTGATATGTTCACCACATTATTCTCTACATTTTAACAGGTAATTAAAGTATTCTTAAGATACGAGTTTCAACTTGTGATTGTAAAACTAACAGCAGTCACATTTATTGAAGAAATCCAAGTACGGTGTTTAACGAATCAAGATACTACAATAAATGTACATCTTTAAAGAAAAAAGACAAAAATATAAGTAGGTTATTCGTAGCTTGCATCTAAAAGCAAATCATAAACAAATTTATAGGTTCTCGATGTAGACCACTATGGTTTATGATTAAACTTAGAAATTAACTATTATCTCAGAGCTTTATACTTTGCCAAACTTATAGAGAATAAAAGAATGAAAAAAGAACAACAGAATCGTTTTAGATAAGATATACTAAAGATGTGAATAAATTATTTCGTCTTGATAATTGAATATATATATATATATAAATATGAACTAGTTGGTTTGTAAAAACAATTATCTACAATATCTGCACAAAACTTTTATTCGAAGTTTGATTTCACACATTCCATTATATAGGTAAGAAGAATTCTAACACAAAAATAAACCGGTTAAACTGGAAGAAATTAGTCATGGAACGTGAGATATTCTTCGGTACAAATAATCTAATCACACATAATGACAACATATCCTGTGGTCGTATTGTCTTTCAATAATATCCTAGTATCGATTTTCAATGGTTAAAAGAAATTCAGAAACAGACAAATATCAAATTAGATAGTTAAAGATTGTATCTACGTACCCAACGATAAGACTGTCCATCATATTTACGAGCCGAGGTGAATAGGACCGTTCTAGCAGGCATATTTAAACCCATGGCAAATGTTTCTGTAGCAAATAAACACTAAATATCCATATAAAACAATAAGCAAAAAATGTAGGGCTAACAGCAAATGATTGAAAAGAATAATTATCAAAGTAATGATAAATACAGTCTTTAGAAACCCACTTACTTGTTAATATACCATGATGCTGACTTAGGAAACCTCAGAAATCTAATTTCCGAGTTAATAACACCATATATATTGAGTAAAATTAAGTTACCGAAAAATTGCTTGAGACATACATTTACAATAATATATTTTATTACCCTGACGAATTCACGACATGAATTTAGATGGTTCGGTTGGCTTTTGCCAAGTTTCGTTACTTATGGTGTAGGCGAGATCTCCCATCTGTGAACCAAAGAGCATTTACACTGAGCTATATTACTTTATGGCCATGAAACATGACCTTTGTAAGTAGAAGACATAGTGAAGCTGCAGGTTTTGATCATATGTATTTTTGAAGAATTTCCCGTCTTTTGTGGAACAACCAAGTGACCAGTGTTGAGATTAGGCATATGTTGCCGCGAATGGCCCACGCAATAACCGCGACCGGTGATTATAGACGTTGAGTGATAGATCGGAATAGGTCACAATGTCAGTGGTGTATTCACTTTTTGTTCTCTCACAAATCTTAAATGTCAAAATTATTTTATACTTATTATTATACGAGTTCCTCCTATTTTCGTAAAGCATACTTCCACGCCTAATCTTTTTTACTACCACTGATACTACTACTTCCACCACTTTGGTATTCATCTTGATTATTTCATCTTTGTGTTACAAAAAAAAGCAATCGATAAACGTATACAAACGTGAAATAAGTAAATAAATTAACGTATTCATGAATATAGGCTTTGATTAGATCAACTCTTACAACCTGATTGTCACGTAGTCTATGTACTAAAACTGGTACTGTAAAGTCTTCGTAACTTTGCTTGCATGCATGGATTCTAATTTAGATCGACGGATAATAACTCAATGAATTCATGATAGATTACCACCTAGTATCTTGAACCGTTCATAATACTTTAATATTCCGTGATTATTGTGCACTGACCGAAACAGACGATTGCTAGATAAATATAAAATAGGAACTAGTCACCTCGATCAATAAATAGAGTACGAGCAATGTGTCGATAGTAAAAAGTACAACACTAGGGTAAGCGTGAGATTACTAGAATCTTTTACTAATGATAAAATTAAAAGACTGTAACACATGACTGATACTAATATACACCCCCTATATACAGTTGTTGCAAGACAAGTGTAAACAGACATAAAATGAAGGCTTACTTTAATTAAATTCTCAGAAAATAATATTTCTATAGTTTCCTTTAATAAAGGCAAAAGACCACCATGATGTATACCAATACCACGCTTAAGCAATGGTAAGACACTCTCAACTTGTGGTAATGCGCGATCTTCAGGTGAAAGACCATCGATTGCATTGCGGAATACTTCATCAACGACTTTTTTCTCTGCATCTATACACAGAAAACCGATAACAATAATTACAGAAATTGTCAACCAACAAATAATAAAGGTGATAAGATTAGAAGCATTAAACCATAAGAAAAATAAAATGTGTCACACATTGGGAAACCTGAGGAAGGTCAAGGCTGAGATATCAAATATGAAAAACTTATGAAAATCATAAAGGTATATGACGGAGAATTTCTAGTTACAGCAAAATCGCAAGTAACTTTGATTCTGTACAGGGTTAGGGAATATTTCAAGTCACTAAATTACATACTTTGTACGGTCATAATAAAGAAAAAGATGCTAATCCTAACTTTAATTTTACAGAGTTACATTACTAATTGTCAGGGTTATTGACTTTCTAACTGGTCTCAACACTAGTAAACAAGACTTGGTGAGGAACATCAGGGATGTAAAGAAAATTGAGGTAACTTTATTTAACGGAACTGTTACTGATGAACAACAATAGGGTAAAAAGGCGATAAAGATAACCAGACAGAAAAAGAAGTCTAATATCATTAGATATAATAATGAATACTTTTTAATATTAATCCATGAAACATTGCTAAAATAATCATGAATATTGGGATCGAAGTTACATGGAAAACTTAGATTACAACCCAAAAATTTTGAAAAAATAAGCATACCAGTAGTGAAATCGAATTTGGCTAATTGCAGTGCATAGATTTCACACTCCTTTTTACTGAAACTAAATACAATTATCGGTTCCAAACTGCGATGTTTGACCAAACGAACAATTTGAATGACATTATTTTCAGAACCTAAAAGAAAGCGCATAATGTAAGTGGTTATATAAGAACTAATTGCTGGTTAGATAACTTGACGTATTAATTGATTACACCACAGAAACTACGCATTATAAATGCTTGGGCCATTCAGTAAGGTGTATGTAGAATACTAGTTACAGTCATTACTTTTTTTGGAAGATATTGGCCCAAGTGACATGACACTAGAAAGTTATGGGTTGAAGTTCTGTACATTTCCAGAGTAACTCATACATACTAGATACCAACACTAACGACCGGAGAAAAAACATGATGTATACAAACTATAATACAATTAAAATAATCTAACGAGGAAACAATTTGATATTCAATTGACAAGCACACTGGAAAACAAAAGCTTTAAGATGTTCACACTTAGTGGAATTTGGTAAACATAACTTCTGTAGATAGTATTCAGTGGAAATGTTTCTAAAGAGAATAAAAACTGGTTTAAACAAATACTATCTTACCAGGCTTTAGATTATCACTTAATAAACTAACTATGGATACAAGAATGAGGGGAAAATATTATAAAGACAGGGATATTTGTACACATCTCATGGATTAAGAAGACTCAGTCCAAACGTTTTACCCGATCCGAGCTACTTCAGAGAAATTATCGGAAATAAGAAAGACTGACACATGAGCCCCATATATACTGGCGAATTTAGTTACTCTTAATAAATAGGATAGAGTGCAACTAACCACATTTTGGCACTGAACTAATATTCAATAAATAGGAAGTTTGTGACCGATTCCCATACTCATCTTAAACTCCACTGTTATTGACAAAAAATTTTTTTGTTTTGACATGTTTCCAAATACCTTTGACATACATACTATAAATCCTGAGCAAGTTTTACTTGTTCTATATTTCCAATTTTGAAAATACAGACGATTATCACAGTGGTTAATATGACCCTGGACACATTTTTTAGCGTTATATGATTACTAAAATCAAGTTACACTAACATACACCGTATACCACAACTACTCATACGAGATAACTTACACTCATTATAAATAGTTCATTTTTATATAATGAAGGATGATTAGGAACTTTGCAGGCACTACTTGCCTACTACATAATAACTATAATTTCAAACATATTTTAACTCAGTAAAGAAGTATGACAATTTGTGTAAACAGTATGCGCCATTCTTCATATTATTTAATTGTTAGGAATTAAAGTATATGAAAATGATTTAAATTGAATTCAGATATATCAGATATATATATTAGAGCACATATTCTGAGAAAATAGGTAACCCACGTTTATTGTAATCAACTTGTGACTTTTGTCTTTTATTTGATGATTCATCCGAAAGGAACGAGCGCATAGCTCGTTCAAAATTTTGCTCCAAATATTTACCCTATAAGAAAACATTTAAATAAGCTGATATAAATCACAAAAGACGAGGATATATATAATTAATTATTATCTATTCATTTCCGCTTAGGTAGGGGGGCTTACATTAACTCAAAATAGTTCAGATCAAATATCAGTATTCCCATAACAAAGTACACCTTTCAGTTTGATCACCTTGATGCTTTTACCACTGGTATTTAACTTTTATAAAATAGTTTAAAGAGTTGTTCAATATAAGTGTTCACTAACGCTTAAAAAGTACACTGAATCGAATTTTTCAGACTAGATTTGATCGTAGAGATAATTCTGAGTACATAAAATCGAAATACATTTCACAATCTTATTAAGTTTAGCTCTTGCCGCCAGAAAAAAATTGGCTTGAGTATGAAAGATTTAATTAGCTCCAATAGCTTGGGAGTAACTTTCCCTACTACGCTGTTAAATGACATCGTTTAGAATTTTTGGAAGAATCAATTGTCTAGGGTTACTGATATGCCTTGCCGATGAATATCAACAAGCTCGGAATCTAAATATAGAGCTTCCAAAAAATTAACTAATTTTAGATGGCAAATGACCTGATTTATAATCACGTTATTTTGATCCTCGACCGTTTGCCTGCAGATATATGAAATATTATTTACTTATAAATGGATGTTATATCTTCCCAGGTCACAGAAACCTTTTACCTGCTAGTTTTCTCTAAGACACGTTTTATGAACATTTCACGAACATTTTAAATGTTTTGACCTTCGGAATATAAATAAATTGTCATTTTTGCAGACAAAATCTTTAAAATTCTATCACAGCTTCTCTATAAAGTTTACCATAGAATGATTTTTAGTGGATATTAATAAAACATACATCCCACTTGTTAAGGACATCAAATTATAAACAATACATTGAACAAATTTCCTACTAAGATTTATGGACAATATTTTCTATCACTTTGAACAAGATGATTGATAAGTATTATTGAAAATAAACGTCCTAATACGACCTACTGCCAATCTTACGGTTCACACGAAAAACTAAATAAATTTGTTTTCTGATACATATGGATGTTTTATTTCCTGAGGTTATTATTTTCATCTGATCTGATTCATATAAAATTTGGTATAGATAAGTACCACACAACCACAGAATAAAGAGACAGTGTTATGGAGAAATAAAAGAGGGAGAGTGTGGTCTAAGAAAGAACAGGCGAACAAGAATACCTTAAGATAGGAGATACAGGTCGGTTAAAAATACGTCTAAAAAGACTTCTTTCTGTTAAGGAAGCTCACTTCATGTTTACCAAAAATGTCAAAAACTACGTCAGGACTGCCATCGGTTTTCGTTTTGAGCTACGTCTGATATCATCTCAGGCTCCTGAATTGAACTATTTCAATAACCCAAGTAAAGGAGTCACGAAGGACAGATAAGTGATTGTCCTCTAAAGTTTTCTTTTAAACCATGGAGCTTTATCAAAAACTGATCACCTCTCTAGTTCTTAAAACCCGTCTTATCATCGGTAAATAATACACAGTATAGAATTCGCTGGGATGATAATCGTAACACATGTTCAAGCCAATGAAATCGGTGTTTCAAAATGATGATACCAACTGAACTGGACCTCTGTATTATTAGCAACGATGACTGAACACAGAGTCAATCTTTAACGGATTTCAAACAAACTGTGAAGTATTATGGGAGTCAATAGTTTGAATGCAACCGGAAACACACTTATCCTTCAAAGGTTATTGAACTTTTTACAGATGAGGTCAACTATCGCTTCATTGCAGGGTGTCGAATTCCTATGTCTTCTATACTTTTCAAACAATCTAATCACTTCTCTAAGAGAAATTTTTCTACCATTCTTGAGTCGTCTAGGCCTGGTGACTTATGGCTCTTCGTAAGTTGAAATTTTTTAAGAACCTCGGCCCCGTTTGCTGGATTAGTCATCACCAGACACACAGTATAAGACAGTTTCATAGATGTTTCTGGAGCAAAACAACAGCTGAAGTCTTCCTCGCAAAACTCTGTTAAACATCCAAGACGCTTTTAGACGTTAATGATTGTCATCCCATTAGCTTCATAGATTTCTTTTAATCACACCAGACTTCTTGATGTCAGGGGGTTGGATGAGCTGGAACAGTTTTAAGCTGGTACCGGATGCAGCTGCGGCTTCCAACTCTTTGGCATGCTTCGACCACCAAACTTTCCGATCTTTACAAAAACTTGGCACAATTTATGCTTATCATCAAACTCTCGATTTGTGGAAGTACACCAGGGTGATTTAAGGAATTATAAAGAGCTTGAGGAAACTCTATACTTATAAGCTGGACGTTTCGAAAAGCCGCATAAGAATTTACTGCCCATTACCTTGGCATTATGCAGTTGCAGCCAATGTTTATCCACATCTTCTCGTGAACCTGTAGCTAGCCTCGAACCTGCCCCTAAATGATCTGGTGTGGTCGAGAGTGGGGAGAGTCAGCTCTCCCTCTCCAAATGCTCTCACATGTCCACGTGTATACAACCACTTCCGGGAAAGTTCTACTCACTGCCTTCTCGTGGTGGAGGTGTTCACGGAATTGAGAGGACGAAAAGCGAATGTCCGGAACTTTACGCGGGTTGATGGACACGGAAGATCCATCTAGGGGAGTTGGAAAACCCTGATTCCAAACCAATGGTGCGCTGGGATAAAGGTTCCTGAGGGAACAAACAACATATGAACCAATTGTTGGTCACCGGCTAACATGGAACTGCATCTCCTGATGTTGCCTCCCTGCCTCGTGGATCAGACCTTTAGGTCGAAGGCTCCGGGCGTGACCCCCTAAGGAAACCATCTGCTTCGGCTTGGGCTCCCGGGCAATATCCAAACTGCATATCTGCTCAGTGCCTCCTTGTACCAATGTTCATGTGTTTAAATGATGATAATAATAAGGCTTGAACCTAGTTTGGTTCGATATTTTGATTGCAACGGAAGCTGCCCCTAATTCGTCTACAATAATCCATTAGAAACGATGAGTTTGTAGACCAGTGAGACGTAAGATAAGATTGGAGGAAACCAAAAAGAGCACCATTTTTGAATGTGACCATGCCAGCGGTAGCTGATTGCGATGTTATCAATCTGAGTATCCACTTGAGTCATCGTAGGAGCCCCACGCAGTATATCGTCGATAACCGTCCCGGGAGTGGGTGCAAGCCAGAAAAGATTGCGGTTTGTGCAAAGTTTCTGGAGATCGGCATCGTTATCTAACCTTTGACCAACAAGTTCCCATCTGCCACTTCAGCTACTCGGTTCTGAGTCTAACTCAAAATAAAAACCATATATCACTTTAATAAAGTACGTCAAACAAGATCTCACCTCGTCCAATACGAGAAACAAACCCTCACTACCCACAGGATATAGATAATGACGTAGTGGTACAGGACGGCAGTCAGATGAAACAACATGACATGGTGATGGTGAAGGTGAGCTATCCATTCAGCAAACTGGCGAGCATTTGGAATAGTAGCACTAAGAAACACATAACGAACATTATCAGGTAAAAGCACTATAGTTTCTTCCCAAACCACTCCACGTTCAGGGTCACGCATATAATGAATTTCGTCAAATATAACCCAACCGACCTCTCGCACCATTGAAGCACCTCTGGGAAATAAAAATAGGACTTATCATTAAGTTGAGGACATTTATATTGAACAATATATTTGCTAAAGCTGATTAACCTCCACATAATAGATGGGAGTTTTAGCATTTCAACACGTACATAGTGGTTAATTCTTACTATTATTTACCTGGTTGAAATTATATATTTGAATGAAGTTCAGCTAGCCATTTGAATATGGAGATTAAATTTACCAACTTCGAACTCAATTAACCAAGCAAAAACAAAAATCCATAAAGAAATCGCTGTTGATAGTACGATGTTCACCAGAATTTAGAAACCACTTTATTGCTTACCCTTTCACTTCCGGAGTACAATTTCACTTAGCAACCTATATTGAGGAAAATAGGAGTATTTTAAGCTGTTGTTTGCTAGCTGTCGCCGGTATGCCAAATTAAATACAGAGAGCGGTGACATGTTTGTCACTAGATTTGCCAAAGTGCTAGTTAGATGGTTAAGATATCCGACAGTCGACCAAAAGGTACTCCATTTCCAGACATTTTAATATCATAATACGTATGCTTCAAAGGTAAGGAAATACGTAGATTATATATGTACTGAGATCGTGTTATAAGATAGAACCATCGAATGTTAAAATCAAGAACAATATTATGGGTAAGAAGGGTAAGTCTGTAGTCTATGAAGGCATTCACTAAGACCAGATGATTCGGTTTTGTATGATGATTGGAGTTGAGTCCATTACACAAACTGTAACAGACCTATTTACGTAAGACTATGTTGTCAACACTTACTGCCATGCTACTCTTTTACAAGAAATAATTGAAGTAGTTAACATAATTATAAGTAATAATAAGTTAGATAAAAATGACGATCTCACTTATACAACATGGATTGAAGGATTTCTGTGGTCATGATGAGTACACTAGCGCTGGGATTGATTGTAGCATCACCTGTAAGTAATCCTACTTCCGGGAAGGCTTCGAAGAATTCTCTGTACTTCTGATTGCTAAGTGCTTTAATAGGAGTAGTATAAATTACACGTTGTTTTTCCCGTAATGCTGTTGCGATTGCATATCTGAAATAACGCGATAAATGGATAGTTTGATGACAATATAGAAAAACTAAGAAAAATATTGGTCAAATGTTCAAGGATTATGAATCTTTTATTCCATCACAATGTACCTCAGTCAAAACATTTCACAGAATGGTACAGCTGGGGAAAACTGTTTAACTTAGTAGCGGGTTTGGAACAGTGAAGTGGTAATATTATGCGCTCACTCTGACTACCACGTTTTTGTAAATACCTTTCAATTATCCAATGGAGTTTGAAGAAACATTTTCCTAATAAAAAATTCCCGAGGAATATCCTGTCCAGTAACTCACTGAAATTACAAAGATTATTGGCGTCTAATACACGTATGAATAATTTGTAACTTCAACTTTAATGACAATGAACGACACTACTTTCTATCCTTATCTCCTCTGCCCGTCGACAGAGGACTGAAGTTCAAGATTGTCTAGAAGCTTTATTTATAGATCCAAAAAGATTAATTCACATTTGAATACAATTCAATATACAGAGATTACGATCAGTAATCAATATTTAAAGAAATTATCAAAATGAACAACCATAACACAGAATTAGTACAATTAGGTATTATACTGAACAGAAGTCAAACAAAGGAAAAACATTTTTGCATTAATTGACTAATTAATCTTATACTGGGCAAAAAAGATATATTGAAGTAATCTAAAAGTCAAATAAACAGAAATCATACTGAGTTAAATTGAAAGCCAACTAAATGGACAAAACATCTAAATTAATATATAGTTTTTCACAATTTCTTCTAACCAGACTATATTTGAGGATTTAAGACCCTCAACAGTGACAGTAATCCCGGACCAACAGAAGCGTGCAGATAATTATTAACGTATATACGACCTGGTTCTTGTGAGTCAGTCTTTTCAGAATCTGCATAATTTTCGCAGTACGAGTCAAAATTTCGGAAATATCTAATAGTGCAATTATACTCTGATGGTTGGCACAATTTCATAGGTTCTAATTACTTACCTTTACCTGCGTGTTTAATCTTACAAACTCCATGGGATTTGATAAGCTAAATTATTCTACCTGATGAAATTAGATGACTGGATGATAAAACTGATTGCTGATTGGCTATGAATGCTCAATATGTTCTTATTCCTGTTAATGTTAGTGGATCTGTTAGTAACCATAAGATTTACGGACTAGAAGCACTATAAATTCACGTAAACACTATGAAGTATTAATACTTATTTCTAATTACTTTTTTTATTTTTAGTCTACCAACTTACTGATTCACATTTGATCTAGACGTATGAACACGTACCCACTTATATAAGGTCGAATGAGTTAGGTATTCCTCAAGCACTAGTTCCTTGACTGTCTTATCTTCATTTGGTTGTCTAGCTCAATTTAGATTTTCAGTTAGTTCCGAATACAGTAATAGACATACAACAATAAAGCTTCTGCACCTGCTTCACATAGACGGATTAAGCAAAACTGGAAAAAAACGACTAAAAGCATGAAGACCGATTCTAGGTGTTGAATAATTACCTTGAAATGAGTATGAATTGTGATTGAAATATTATCCAGTAAAAGATATTACTTCATTATGAAGTATAAATAAATAAACAAACCAACACGATTAACACTGACCCAATGCCTAAGTTTCATACATATTACGAGCACTTGGATTAGATTTTTTTAGTTGTAGATACAATTTACGAATAACTTGATGCATAGTTAAATTATGCGGAAATCAAACTTTTTTATACGAGTTAATATTAGTCGCAAAACCCAATAAGATAACACATGAAAACCAAGGGCATATATATTTAATAACACCCATACTTGCACAAATTACCCACAGGCTGACTACTCGAAAATGTTTGAGGTCTAACTTGAAATGTAGTCTTGGTAAAATACGTTTTAGGATTCGAGAACTGGATGAGTTTTGGTGGTTCTGCGATTAAATAAACGATAATTAACTGAAAACCCTAGATAGACTTTTAAGATAGTGGTGAATCACGTGGAATGTATAAATCCTCATTATATATACCAATAAAGTAAAATCGTTAGTATAAAACTTACTCAGCAACAACAGTTTTGCCAGCTGACGTATGAGCCGATAATAGCACCGACTGATTATTATCAATACATATGATTGCTTGTTGCTGAAATGCATCAAGCGTGAAGGGAAAAGTTTTCGCTGGAAATCCGCAATCTTTAATAATTGGCTTGTATTCAATATCAGGGGGAACAGCCACCTTTAGGGAAAAGACATACGGCACAAGATAAAAACTACCTCGTGTGTACATGTTTCAGGTGAACTGATTTTATGTATTTGTATTCTGGGAGCATTAAATTCTAGAGTATCACCAACAGATAGTTTTGAACGTTTGGGAGAATCATCTGTAGAATCTTCCTCTACTTCTTTTAATAAGGGTTTGAGTGAAGCTTCTGCTCTGAAGATAAAAAAGTGCTTAACATTAAGTGCAATAGCAACATTACAAACGTAACTGCTGTGAAAGTAACAGAAAACCTTGGGAAAATATTGAATATCTTTGAGATTTGACACCAACGTGAAAGAATTATAGATAAGTCATATTTTTCTTTGCTTTTTAGTCAAACAATCGAACGAACTGACTTAACGAATTCGCTGTTAAGTGAAACAAGTTATCTTGGGTTGAAAGGTAGCCAATCTTACAAATGTCATTAAAGCAACACTCACAGAAAGCAATAGTCTCTTGCATCACACGTCAAGGAATGGTGAAGGTTAAAAATGATAGGAACTAAGTTAGGCGTTTTAAATGATAAAACTATGTTTGGCATTAAACTTTGGATTACTAAGCCATGCTTTAAAAAATATAGTTTGAACACATATATAATATAAGCATTTCTGTAACAAACATGGTCAAAACTCTAATGCTCCCGGTTACTACATTGTAATCGAAATTCGTTCTCTTAATGATGGCATATATATAAAGGAGTATAGTCAAAGTAAACGAAGTGGTTATGAAGTAGCGTTTTCAAACTTACTACTTGTGACGAATATCTCCTATGTCAAACATGGCCAAGAAAATTGGCAATGAAATGCCAAACGACCTTAATGCAATGGATGTTGGTAATTTCGTGAACTACGCAAGTAGAAGCAACAAAGGGTTTGGTGATATTCTAAGTCGATCTTAGATGTCAAAAAACATCACAACGAATACAAATTACGTGGAAAATACGGGAGAAATGTGTTAAAAATGTTATAGAAACCATGAGAGAAAAATTATAAACATAAATCAGAGAGAAGACAAAAGATATAGCACAATAAGGCATTTTAAGCTTAAAATCGGGCAAACGGTGGGTAGATTTTCAACACCGTAACCCCACCAGTTCAATTAATTATCTAAGGAATGATGTGGTCTTTAGTCATTAAATCTACAGTACCCAAATATGTAGAACGCTAGCCAAGTTTTACAAATCGGTAAAAATAGAAATGTCACAGTTCGAAATCGACAGTAATATACCGTATTACTTTATAGTTAACTTGTAGTGAGGCACTTATCACAACAATTATAAATATATTAAAGAGGAAGAATGTATTTGTAAAATCTCAGCGAAAGAATTTGAAGTAAATCCAACGTTTCGCCTGGCAATTGGCCCAAGCTTTTTCAAGGGAAATATAATCAAACAACAAAATTATCGAATATAAATAGGTACATGGTTCTCTGGTTTACTGTATACTGAATAAGTCATGAAATCAACGTTAACAATGTTTAAAGTAGGTATTTACATTAGTGTGTAAGAGACATATGATGTGAAACAAAGTGTTAAGATAACAGATTGTGTGTATACGTAAGTGATGTGAAAAGAAGTTTCATTCACTATATATTGTCTTCGATCAGTAGAATATTAGGAAAACACATAATATATGACATAAAACAAAAATGTCACAGCATGCATAAAATGAAGATAAATAAACAAGATGAAAGATTAAATTCAGAGAGGAATGCATTTGTAATTGAAAGTTTGTGTTATTTTAATGTTCCAGTCAATTGTTTAACATATTCAGATAAGGTAACTGATTTGAACCGTTGAATGTATTATCTATTGATTAGTTTATATGATATAGATAGCTAGAATGGAATAAGGAGTTCAGGTTTACTTATTAACTAATAGCTGCCATGGGACAGCTAGTTGTATTCCATCTCTCCTATTAATACTGTTTGGATTAGCCCATATACGTAGGGCTTCGGTTGTTAGTCGTTCTTTGTAAGATTTTACAAATACATTCTCCCTCTTTAATGTCTCATATTAACTCGGCGCCCAAATATTGTGAAACTATTCGCTCAAATTTAGACGAAAGTTCTTATTAATTATAAGTATAGTTACAACCACGACAAAATATAATCTTAAAATAAAGCTTTCCTTGCTAATAGCATTAACACCACACAACTGATTTTATTTTCATAAGTATGGGAAAACAAAACTTAAGACGTATTCCTTAAGATCCAAGTAACCATGCAATAGAGGTTCTTAATTGAGCAATCTAAAAAAACAGTGGTATTTTTCCTCGCTACGTCAAGTTTATGCTGTAGATTATTTATTATGCACCGATACAACTGTTTCCACTTCATTCGGATTTATTTCAGTTACAGTAACACCAAGAGTTTTGTTTTTTAGAGAATTTTTTGCATCTGTACTCTTATTAAGTACAACATATTTTTGTGCACAGTACTTTTCGAACCTAACAGTTCGTGACTCGCTCTTTGCCCAACTTTTTTGATAAGCAGATTTTGTATCAGTGTTTCTTGCCTAATTTATCTGAAAAGATTTGGTTGTTGACTAGTGTGAAAAAAATCAGTTGTCAATGGCCAGGTTGTCGAGACCCGGTGGATGGTGGTAGACAGTGCGATGAGTGAAAAGAGTGGTACCACGGAATTCGCACAAATCTAAAACCTGTAGCTTTAGAAAGGTTTACTAAACCGGGTCTGTGTGGTTGTGCTATCAGTGCTGCTCGAACGCAGAGCTTGCAATCAGAAACCGTTGCAATAGTGAATGTTGCACGTTGACAAACGCAACCGAGACCAGTCTGATGATTCTTCCAGTATCAAAATACAAATCGATGTGCAGTCATCTCAAGTGGCCTTAAAATAGACTGACATACGTGGGCAGAAGAAAGGACCATACCCAAAGAGGTATGCATTTATTTAGTTATTTATTTTAACACAGATATTGGTACAAGGAGGCACCAAATAGATATGCGCCACACAAATCTCATTCGATATGTGTGAGGGCTGTGATACTGCCCGGGTGCCCAAACCGAAACAGGTGGTTTTCTTAGGGGGCCACACCCGGAGCCTTCGACCTGAAGATCTGATGCACAAGGCAGTGGAGCATCGTAAGGAGATGTAGTCCCATGAAAACCGGTGACCAACGATTGGTTCATACGCCGTTTGTTACTTCAGGATACTGGAGCCCATGTGCACCATTGGTTTGGAATCCAGTTAAAGCGCCGGACATTCGCTTTTCGTCCTCTCATTTTTGTAAACAACACCCCTGCCACGAGAAGGCAGTGAGTAGGACTTTCGCGGCAGAGGCTATATACGCGTGGTCATGTGAGAGCATTTCGAGGAGAGCGGACTCTCCCCACTCTTGGCCGTACCAGGGCATTTGGGGGCAAAGAGGTCTGTTAGAAACAACTTAACGAAGGTTTCTTTTGTGTCTTGCACTCCAAACAGCAACAGTCAGGAAAAGCGCAGCAAACCCCGTCGTAAGGTTAGGTTTGTTTTTAGGAGGAAAAACAGCATAAGCCATAACCTGACCACCCAATATGACAACAATTATTTAAGGTTTCGCAAGGCATGTGATGCAACTGCGATTGCAACTCGACTGAGAAGTGATAAATGGATACGATGTAAGAATAAGAAACCCCGACCGTTGTTGCTACCTTGACGTGGTGGTCGGGCTTGCCTATCGTGATGAAGCAACCGAGCTATACTGGCTGGAACAACCGTTCCTCAAGGTCCTACCATGTCAGACAGGTCGGTTGAAGAGCGGTAAGACTAAAAGCAACAAACCCAAGGTCCGAAGGCGAAGTCGTACTGCTGACTGTACAGAGGTGTGACAGCAGTAAGGTGTTTCCTTCAGACAACCAGCATGACAGCGATGCTGCCTTCCCACAAGGAGGGGTGGGGTTAGAAAAGGTCGACCCTAAAAATGCACACCTCGCCTTATCCCACGGATATCCGTCTCCGGCGGTAAGGTCTCAATAAGTACGGAGCTAACACAAAAATTACCCATAACAAGGTCGTGTGTGACCGACCTCAAGCAGTTGTCCCTTGGGCACTGCGGTCACGCTCTCAGGTCACTAAGACCACTTCTAATCCAATTTCCTTTTCAGGTACCTCCAGAACAACCCTTCCACGGTGTGGGCAACCGGGAAGTGATAACCGCCCTCATACTTCTAACAGCACTCAAGACCACTGTATTCATAATCAACCTCCTCTTCAATTCCTATTATTCCTCCTACATCGACTTTCAACTCTATATTTCCTCTTCGGCTTCCACCTCAAGTGTCACCGTAGCCAACGATTCTAGTGCGCAAAACACTGTCCCAGGTCTACTGAAACCTCGCTCCAAACTACACATTGGAGCCTTCAACGTACGCACCCTATGTCAAATCGGTCAGCAGGCTTCCTTGGCTAAAACCCTAGAGTCTCTTTCCATTGATGTATGCTGTGTCTCCGAAACACGCATACAGGATTCCAGTGTGGTCATTCACTTGACCTCACCTCGGCAAGACGGAGAGCCAACGAGATACACCCTTCGTGTGTCTGGTGACCCGATGGCAAGTTCTCGTGGACTGGCAGGTGTAGGCATAGCACTAAGCATGAGGGCCGAACAAGCACTGCTAGAGTGGATCCCCGTCAACAGTCGTCTATGTGCTGTTCGGCTGAACGGCTACGTAAGAACTCGGAAGGATAGGGACACACGTCGTTGCCTTTTTGTCGTTTCTGCCTACGCTCCCACTGACTGCAGCTCAGATGAAGTGAAAGATGAATTTTACAGAAAGCTGTCCGAACTTCTTCAGAAAGCTAAACGCTCAGACATAGTACTCGTAGCAGGTGATTTTAATGCTCAGATAGGTAGTTTAAACCAAACAGAAAGGCATTTAGGTGGATATTTTAGTATTCCGACACAGCGAACAGATAATGGTGATCGTCTGCTGCAGCTATGCTCAGACAATCGTTTATTTTTAGCAAACACAAATTTTAAGCATAAGGAGAGACATCGTCTAACATGGCGACCCCCTACACCAAACCAACGATGGACTCAAATAGACCATATTGCCATCAGTCATCGTTGGAGAGGGTCGGTAGAAGATTGTCGCTCATTCTGGAGTACCTGCTTGGACTCCGACCATGCCCTAATACGGGCACGCATCTGCTTGCGCCTCACTGGACGCAAAAAA